TCATTCTTCCTCCTCACAGTGAATATTAATTTCTGCATGGACAAATACTATAAAGTAATAGTGCTAAAATAGGTTGAAAGAGCACAGTTAAAGGGAAAGTGCTAAAGGAAATCAGGAAAATTATATAGGAGCAAAATAGAAATTTCCATAGAAGTAGACATTTTTTAAAAGAAAAATTAAAATATTGAAATAGAAAATTACAATAACAGAAATAATTTTTTTGAAGAATCTAAGCAACAGATTTGAGGTTGCAGAATAATGAGCCAGTGAACTTAGAAATAGGGCAAATGAGATTACTGATTCTTAGGAAGAAAGAATGTTAACAGAGCCTAAGAGACCAATCAGGATCAAAGGAAGACTCTTCAGTAACCTGTTTTATACAGATGACACAGCTTTGCTTGCTGAAAGAGAGGAGGACGTGAAATTCTTGTCCCAGAGGCTCAGCCTTTGGTATGGATTGCATCTCAGTATCAAGACAACAAAGGTCTTCACCATGGGGCCAACAGACAGCATGATAGAAGGATTGTAGCTGTCAGTGATTTCCTCTTGCTTGGATCAACAGTGAACACCCTTGGTACGAACAGTCATGAAATCAGGATACATATTGCACTGGGCAGGTTCACTTAGGGGGATCTCTCCAAAATACTTAAGAGCAGTCATGTAAATTTGAAGCGCACACATCATTCGGGCCATGATCTCTAGTCACCTGGTACACATCTGAGAGCTGAACAATTAGTAGGGTTGACAGAAGAAGAATTGATACCTTTGAGTTGTTGGAGAAGAGTGTTGAATATCTCATGGACGGCCAAAAGAACAAACAGATTTATCTGGGGAAAAAGTGAAGTCAGAGTGCTCCTTGGAGGCAAAGAATACAAAACTTCATCTCATATAATTTGGGCAGGTTCCTGAGTCTCTTTCTTGGAAAGAGACAGCATGCCTGGAAAGATGAACAGCAAGAAGGAGAGAGAGACACCCCCACCCCCAAATGAGATGGATTGACACAGTGACTGCAGCAGTGAGCTTAGGTGTGTCAGCGATTAGGACAGGTTCAGATGTGTTGTTCATAGGGTTGCTGTGGATTGTACTCGGCTTCACAGCACCACCAACAACAGCAACAAGAGACCAGTGGAACATCATCAAACAGTATAATTTGCATTATGGAGTCCCTGAAGTAGAGAATGAGAAAGGAGAAGAAAGTACTTGAGGAAATACCTTCCAAAAGCTCCCAAATCCGAGTGAAGACTTCTCTCTACTATTCAAGAAGCACAACACAGCCAAGTAGGATAAGAGAACTATACATATATATATATATATATTAATATCAAGCTCTCCAAAGCCAAAGATAAGAATAATTTTGAGAGAAGTGAAGTATTATATACAGGGGATCCTAAGTAAAGAGTGTAATTTCCTCATAGAAACCATAGAGACAAGAAGGTAGTGAAGTGAAAGAAAAGAACTCTTTTAAATTTTTTATTTTATTTTATTATTTTGTTTGTGTGTATACTGCCAAATCAGATCTGTCTGGTCCAGGAGGAGATTGTTCCTCCTTCTCCAGCAGAGCATCTGGCAGACTTGAACTGTGCACCATTGGGATTGCAGTGCAGCTTCTTGCCACTAGGCCACCAGAGCTCGCCAAAAGAAAAGAATTCTTAGGTAAGACTGTTATATTCAGCAATATGGTCCTTCCTGAATTAAAGTAAAATTAAGACATTCAGATCATGTAAGTAAAAGCTGAAAACAATTGTTGCTTTTAGTTCTGTACTATAAGAAGTATTAAAAGAAGTATTTCAGATAGGAAAGAAAAGATATTAGACACATGTTAAGATGGTGAAGGGAAAGGCAATACAAAATAAGAGGGTTATTGGCACAGTAACCACTGAATGAGAGAAAAAATAGTGAATAATACTGTACAAGAAATACAAAAAATGTAAACAGTAAAACTCTTATTGCATACATATGCCGTAATATCAGCAATAATACATGTTAATCTCCAAGTGAATACATTATTAAACAGGTAAATAAGTGAAAAGAATGTCACTGATGATATGTTAAAGGAACAAAGACAGCATGAGGGTGGCCGAGTCCAACCTCTACTAGCTTCTTGAAGGGGAAACTGTTCCCATCAACATCATCTGCATTAAAAAACTTGACCCCTGTAAGGTCAGACTCAGCTCCCCACTCTGCCGCACCTACTTCTGCTAATTACTAAGTTGTTGTTATGTGCCATCGAGTCACTTACGACTCATAGCGACCCTGTGTACAACAGCCCTAAACCCTGCTCTATCCTGTGCCAGTCGCACTGTCTCTGACACACCCATCCCGATTACCCTCGTCACTGAATCAATCCACCACATAGAGGGTCTTCCTCTCCTACGCCGTCCCTCCACCCTCCCAAGCATGATATCCCTCTCCGAGGATCTGTCCCTCCTTACAACATGTCCAAAGTGTGTCAGAAGAAACTCCAGAATCCTTGCCTCCAAGGAGTAGTCTGGTTTGACCCTCTCCAGGATGAATCTGTATCACATAGTAAAAGTCCAGATTCTGTAAATAGCAATCCCAAGCCAGGTTAATAGCAAGACACAGTCCCTCAATTACACAGCTTCTTGGTCAACAGCAAGACAGCTCTGATATAGAAACCCCTGGCCAAGGCTCTTCCCACAGTCTCTCTATAGTCTGATTAACTCCTTTTTTTTCTCCTTTCTTTTTTATTATTATTAATTGAAATGAAAGTTTACAGAGACTTTGGCTTTCCATTCATTCATTCATTGTTGCACTTTTCTCCCTGCCCACACCTACCTCCCCATTCGCTCTTGTTTCCCCCGCTCTTCTTTTTGAAAAAGAAAAGAAAAATTCTTTCCTTTATACAGTCCCTCTCCCCAAGTCCACTCCACTATGCTGCCATTATTTTGGACTCATGTCATGACAATAATACCTAAATCATATATCCCTTCATCTGTTTCAATGCAGTATTTATCCCCTTTCTCAGTCTCCCCCCAACCCTCTCTTAAGTTGCTCTCACAGCTGTTGATGTTAAAGTTGCTATAAATCAAGTACCCATAGTCCTAGCAGCTGGAGGCCATGCCTTCAGGGGAGCTAAGGGTGCAGGTGGAGCCTCAACCATTCTTTTTTCTTACACATTACCACTTGGCCCAGTGATCAGGTCCAAGGCAACTGATAGAAAAGTACAAAAATCTTAACACCACACTATATATAGGTTTGACACATGATATTTCTGTGTTTACATTACTATATACTTTGAATACATCCAGAGCCAACTTGGAGCAAAATTTTGTAAATTTATCACCTTGAAGGAATGATTTGTTGATTCTGGGGCCTTGGGACCTGAAGGACAGTTGGCATAGTAAAATCCACAGAGAAGATGTTCTGGTTCTACTTTGATGAGTAGCATCTAGGGTCTTAAAAACTTGAGGGCAGCCATCTAAGGTGCAATTATTGGTCTCTTCCTGTCTGGAGCAAAGAGGGAAGAAATGCAGATATGTACAGAAATAATTAAAGGGCTAGTAGACAGCATGAACCTCACTTCACAATGCAGAGACCAGGAGAACAGATGGTGCCCAACTAGCACCTGTGGTCACGCTCCAAGGGATCACAATGGAAGATAAGATAGAGTGCAGTGTAAAGTAGAGCAAAACTCAAAAAGGCCTGGCTTCTGAAGGGAAAGGCAATAAAAAATAAGGGGCTTATCAGCATAATATCACTAAATAAAGGAAAGACACCAAAAGGTATAGAAAGATTAATGGAAGTTACATTGTTAATATTGAAATTAATAGAATTACAGAACAAAATGTGCAAAAAAGAAAAAGCAACAAAATGTGTATGAATGGTTGAGTGAAAAATTAGTCTGCTTTGTAATCCTTTCCTCAATTTAATAAAAGAAAAAGGATACAAGAGAGTAATTAAAAACTTAAGTGGGCAGGGAAGAGGGAGATGATGGCAAGAAATGCTTTGATGTTCATGTTCTGATTGTTCTTAGTACTCATTCTTTTTTTTTCAAGTGTCTTCAAATTTTATATTGGTTTGCATACAAGATTAGTTTACTCTGTTTTTCACACATTCCTTCATTCTCATTTTGTTTCATAAGATCATTCCTATACATTGTTTTACAGAATGAATCATCTTTGATTTATGTCCCCTTTTATGTTTCCTCTTGTTATGTGCTGTCAAGTCAACTCTCTGTTACCTAGGAGCCCTTATTTGTTTCTTTTTCCTCTATGTTTTCCTACCTTAATCCCCTAACTACCACTCAGTATTTAGAAGTTCTTTCTTAGCAGCAGGTTCTAGAAAATACCCTACCTTTTCCTTCTACCTGAAAAGTCCATGGCTCATCCCCTCTAGCTCCTCCCTGGGTGCCCTCCTATGTCCTGACCTATTCCTCGGCAGTTAAATATTTCAGACAGGTAGCCTTAGCTTTGGTTATCTGAAGGAAAAGTCTGAATTTCCCTGTGAACACTTACAAACAGTCTTTACTCCAAACCACTCTCTTCACAGTCTCTTCACCTGACCTCTCTAAATTTCAGCTCATTTTCTTCTGCCCCCCTTTTCCTCTTCCCTGAGCTTGACTACCACAGAGTCCCTGGTCCATGTGGCATCTTTGTGATCAGTCTTACCCTTAGACTCGACTCTCAAGTGTGTTAGACCTTGAGTCTGTATTTGACAGGGAAGATTGTGTCCTAATGCATTAAGGTCCTAATGGACCAGAGCCATGCTGACACATAGATGACTCACCTATTATTGAGCAGGCTTCTGTCACCCTCTGAACACTGGGGATGCCAAACACAGCAATTAGTAAATGCAGTCTTGCATATTCACCTCTTGGTTCCCCTACATCACTGCTGGGCATGCAACTCAATACTTGACAGAGAGTTTGTCAAGATATTTGTCATATATGTTTAACCAAATGTGACTTTTAGGGGAACTGTTCTCTTTGAGTGATACTTTCTAAATTAGATTTTTTATTCCCTCTGTTCGACATACATTAGGAAGCAGCTTTCCGAAAAGTTGTACAAGCAACCATGGTCCGAGATCGTCAGCATGGCCCAGTGGTGGAGCTTAATCGGATCCAGGTAAGAGATTCATTGAGACCACATATTTCAGATTCATTGCTTCCATGGATGTGAATAATGTGTTCCAGGATGTTATGGAGTACTTCTTGGATGTTACTACTTCAAAGAATGAGTTTTCTTTTTGATACTGGGAACTGAGATTTTTCTTTTTTGGAGGCGGGGCAGTGAACATTTAGATTTTTAAAATTTCTTTTTTATTGCTTTGCATACAGAAGTTGTATACTTTGTGTTTCATTTATATACATGTTTTTCATGCTTTCCTGTATTCACATTGTGTTTCATATCATTCCCGTAGATTGTGTTTTATAAAATTAATCTGCATTGATTCATGACCACCATTACCCCACCTTTTCAGGTCCCCACTGGATCTTTCCTTGTTGCTTTAACCCCTCGCTCTGCAGAGACCAAACTCTGGGACTTTGAGATTCCCCTCCCCACCCTAAACCCTCTTCCCCTGCCCTCTTCCCCTTTGGACTTTGGTACACATCTTTCTAGTAACCCACCTATTTTATGATAGTCTTATGCAGTAAGGAACTGAGATTTAGTGGTAAGAAACTACAGTCCCTAAGCCATGTGGTTCAAATCTACCAGCTGCTGCATGGGACAAGGATGGGCAATCTCCTCCTGTGTGATTAAGAGCCTTTGAAAACACCCTGGAGGGTCAACTGTGGGTAGGTTCCAACTCAGTAGTACTTAGCAACAACAAACAGTAACAGAAGTAATATTTCTTTCAGTAACTCTGAAGTACAAATACTAGTAAGTACAAAGTGGGAACTAGAAATCACCTGTGTTTGTTCCACGTGGCAATAGCAGCCACTTTGCATCGTTAGAGATTATTTTCTATATTTGTTACACCTCAGACTGTTTATTCTGTTCTTTAACTTCCTTAGTGGGGGTGAGGGTGGGGAATGCTCTCCTTACCATTAAGCAAGATTTTGCAGCATTATTTGCCTCCGTCTTTTTGGAGAGCTGTACCATAGCCTCTTACTATCAGTATCAAAGTCTCTTGGCTGGAGCTCAAAGGCTATGTCTCATTTTCTTTGCCATAGACAGGGCTGATGTCACATGTTCTCTTTGATTCACCGGATGGCTCAGATGTTGTCCTCAAGACCTGTATCACATGAAAGACTGTAGTAAATCACTTCCCTATGAGCAGTGTGTGCTGCACCATACTCTTCCCTGCTCAGGTGGTCTTCTCTGATTATTTTAGTAGGTCAAGATTGTTAACATTGTTGCATAATGGTAGCTCCATTAATTAAAAATAACCCATCTCTTGAGTTTATACTGCTGTGGAGTACAAAGCTACTAAGGAAGACTATTATGTAAAAATTAGTTAAAAAACAAATAAGAAAAAAAACAACAAACCCTGACTGGAGCTCAGGTGGCCTAGTAGCAAGAAGCTACACTACAGTCTTTAAGGCTCACGGTTTGAATCCACCAGATGTTCCGATGGAGAATGAGGGGCAGTGTCCTCCTGTACCATAGGATCCAATTCAACAGTACACTCAAAAAAATTAATAGAATAACTACAGTGTTAATTAAAACAAACAAACCCTGGCTAAAGTATATACTACTGTGATGCACTTGACATTTATGTGCAAATGAAATTGGCCTAGCAACTTGAACAGAAACAGAACTGTAAAGAAAAAAATTCTTTGTTCCTGTATCTTTGGTATTAACACATGATTTTTACCCTGATGTTGGTTACATGGCTAGAAGTTTTCCCAGAATTATACTTAGGGGCATGTTGGATGAAGACACTAAATCCTGACCTTTGTTAGATTCCACATGTGATCACTCTGATGCATGTGGTCAAGAACAGCTTCCCCTCTCCTCTGACGTCAGTAGTCAGTGTAGGCCCTAAGTCATTAAGTTAATTCCACAAGTAAATGGGTTGTTTAATTAGGTTCATAAAAGAGCTTTTCTTTTCTCATCTTGGATGATCATTTTGGATCACTCGGGTCAGAAAGTCTCTTAAGTAAAGACTGCTGTTGGCTTATAAGTCATTTCCTGCCAACTGTTGAGTATTTCTGACCTGTGACCCTGTCCCAGATAAATACATAGTGCTTTGTTGGTGGAGCCCTAGGCAAAAAGGTGTCAGGGCCTCAGCAAACTCTTGATGGCTGGAGCTCAGCTTGGGCACACTAGTTTCTAACCTACTCTTAGCTCACATTCTTCTGGTGCTATCACATGCAGAATGCCTCTTGCTCATTTTACCTCATTCACACAGCACAGGACTGTGAAAGTGTATGTGTGAAAAACTAAATTGGAGTGATGGAGGCTGCCTTTATATTGAAATATTTTTATAGAGCAAGCAAGTGACATTTGACATGTTGTTTAGTGCTGCCTAATGAGTGGCATGCCCTACATATCTCAGCCCTCAGGCCACTTGGGCTTCCTCAGTTTTCAGGGCAGGTTTTCTTTATTCAGGGTGTCTATTGCACCTTCCTGACATTAAAAAGGTTTCAACAAAGATGGAAGTGAATTTCAGCCAATTAAAACCCTTTTGTGTAAAGACGTTCAAATGAATTAAACACAAGACAGCAGCATTAAGCTATCCCATGAGTAGGTGTCCACTTCATCAGCTAGCATAACTAGCATTTCTTGTAACATAGAATCACTGCAAGGAGTAGCTGAGGTGAAACAAAGTGTGGCACCTAGCAGAGGTCCTTCCACTGAAAACAGTTACGATCACTGTTATCATCACTCTTCCTAAGAGGACCTGCTCTTATCCTTGCTTAGGCCAAAAACTTCTGGAATCTGTGCAACTAATGATAACTCTACCTGTAGGCATTGCTCACCTTTTACTGACAAATTGCGGGTGCCTCATTTTCTCACCATTGGACTGATAGGACAGAGATAAGATTCAAATTGTCAGCGATTTCATATTACTTGGATCTACCATCAACACCTTTGGTACCAGCAGTCAGAAAATCAGAAGATGTCTTACATTGAAAAGTCTATATTCAGAGACTCTTTGGATTACTGAGGAGCAATGATGTCAGTTTGGAAACTAAGATGCACCTGATTCAGGCCATGGTCTTTGCAGTCATTTGCATGCATCTGAGAGCCGGACATTGAATACAGACGGCAGAAAAAGAATTGATGCCTTTGAGCTGTGGTGTTGGATAAGAGTACTGACAATCCCATGGACTGCCAAAACAACAAGCAGATATATCTTGGTGAAAGTGGAGCCAGAGTGCTCGTTGGAGGCAAAGATAACAAAGCTTCATCTCGCATACTTTGGCATATTGTTAGGAGTGTCTGTTCCTTGGAGAGGGATATCATTGCTTAGAAAGGTGGAGAGAGTAACAAAGACAGGAAGACTCTAAACCAGATAAGTTTACACAGTGACTATAAAAATAGGCTCATGCTAGAGATGGAGAGGATGGCTCAGGATGGGATTCAGATCTGTTGTTCATAGATTGGGTTGCTCTGAGTCACACTGGATGACACCTACCAGGAACTAACAATACTTTGTTGTTGTTGATTGCCTTTGTAGAGCACAACTCATAGCAACCCTATGAACAAAAGGCCTGAAGCCCTTCTACAGCTGTCGACATTTATCAAAGTTCATTGAGTTTCCTGAGACATGTTGTTTAGGCTGTAGCATATAGCTTTGGAACAAAGCCTAGTACTAATCTAAGGCTCAGGGAGAATGAGTGACTTCTATCACTCTAGTCAATGCCACAAAAGAAACCTTGGCACTTAGTAACTGACTCTAGACTCCAGTGAGTTGGGCCATATGTACCTCCACCAATCTCATTGCATATGCTGACAGCCAGTTTTTCTCTTGCTCCTTTCTAGGTCAAACGCTCAAGGAGTAAAGGTGGACTAGCAGGCCCTGATGGTACAAAGTCTGTCTTTGGGCAGATGTGTGCTAAAATGAGTGCATTTAGTCCAGACAGCCTCCTCCTTCCACACAGAGTCTGGAAAGTCAAATTTGTGGGTAAGAACCTCCTCATTGTGCTGAAGAGCCTATGAGTCCCAAAGAAACTGATGAGATGTGAGCATGTGCTCTTCTGGGATGCCTAAAATCCCATGTATGTGCCTTCACATGGAGTGAGTGACTCATTTATTTTTCACTTTAAGGTGAGTCTGTGGATGACTGTGGTGGTGGCTACAGCGAGTCCATAGCAGAAATCTGTGAGGAGCTTCAGAACGGACTCACTCCTCTTCTGATTGTGACACCCAATGGCAGAGATGAGTCTGGGGCCAACCGGGATTGCTACCTGCTGAGCCCTGCTGCACGGGCCCCTGTGCACACAAGCATGTTCCGCTTCCTGGGTAGGTGATTGTTGGGCTGCCTGTCAAGTTTGTGCCATTCATGGTTGCCTTTGTTTTGTTTTTGAAAAAAAATACATCAATTTGAAATTTCTACATGTATAGTATAGTATTGTAGAGCTCATTCTTTGAGTTGTACAAAAATTCTCATCTTTTTCTGAGTGAATCCTTCCCCATTACCACAAACTCTCTGTTCCCTAAGGTTCCTATCTGATTTTTCAAGTAGATATTGCCAGTTTATCCTGTATAGATAAAAGAGCACAGAACTTAAGGCAAACATTCTATACTATCTAAAATAAACTGTTGTTGGGTTTAAAGAGTACTTTGGGACAATAATCATAGGGGTTTGACTAGTCTCCATGGCTCTTGATAGTCTGGATTCTCATTTAGCCATTTAACTTGGTTTTGTATCTCCTCTCTGCCTTGCTCGTAACAAGAGATATTTTTTAATATCTGTATTCAGCAGTTGACATTTTTTAGTATAAATTTTTTTAACTCTTATTTTCCCAGAATTAAAGAAATTATTAACAAGACTTTTTTGTTTGCTTACTAGCACAACAATTCAGTTCATGATAGATAGTACACTTAATGTAGTGGCTGCATCTGCCCCACATTAGGATAGGCTACAAACCAGATATACTGATGTGCTTGACTATATGATGGTGTATTTGAAGATAGGAGATCTCTAGCAGGCAGAAGATGTGAAATCCATTGTTTCTGTATTCTGTTAGGGTGTAAATGGAACACCCTGCTTGCTGATGTACCCATGTCCCAGAGGCAGGCAGGGCTTCTAATGTTCCACAGAGTTCATGCTCTAAGGAGCTTGTGCCATTGTGGTTACTAACTGGCTTTTCTATAGCTAAACTCAGTTGATAGAGAAAGACTGAAGAATTTCTATCTTGAGATACAACATTGGTAACTTTTAGAAACTGAGCCTGTAGAAACAAAAAAGAATAAAGAATTTAAAATGTGCACCTGTTCCCAAGTGGCTCGTTGTCACATTGGTTTAGAGACACCAAGGTCTGTTTGTAGCAGAGTGTATGTTGCATATTATATTCACAAATATTTTCTGCCCCTTATGTTTTGGATGATCAGGTGTTTTATTGGGCATAGCCATCCGCACTGGGAGTCCACTCAGCCTCAGCCTCGCAGAGCCCGTCTGGAAGCAGCTGGCTGGAATGAGTCTCACCATTGCTGACCTCAGTGAGGTAACTTGCACAGCACGGAATTGTGCAGTACTGCATGGGTCTGGGCAACGCCACCTACTAAAGACACAGGGCATATGGAGTTATATCTCAGGCCCAGGGAAAGTCTCAGGATCCATCATGTCTGATGCTCCAGGTGAAGTCCACGAAGCTGGTCTTTGGGCCACATTTGGAGTAGCAAGAGGGTTCTGGTGGTGTTCAACAAGTTGCTCCAAGATTTGATAGATCACCTGTTGTGCGGGGTTTTGCTCACAGATGCTAATGTCATCTTTTTAATTAGAAGGGGGTGGCCGTTTTCCCTTGGAGAAAGTTGAGATTGGAAAGTTTCCTAGGGTTGAGGCAGGGCCCCTTCTCCCTTCACTGCACTTTCCTTTGTGCCATATTTGTGCAGGGATTTTTGTCATTTACCTGATGCTAATACTTTCTTCAGAGCACTTATGAGTAAGAATTGTGCTGCCAACTCAAAGGCATGCAATGTGAAACCACCTGCTACTCTGTGGGAGAAAGATGGACAGTCTCTTCCTGTGCAGTTTACTGTCTCTGAAAACCTGCTATGAAATGGTTCCAGCTTAACAGTAAACAACAATACAGTGCTTTCTCAGGGGTTAATTAAAAGGTGTTTCCTTGAACTGCTTTTTTATATTTTGCAGCCCAGCTGATAAAGTTGCACCCCTGCAAAGAGGAACATAGGACTTAGCTCAGCCTGAGACCTTGTGTGGTCTAGGGGAGCTTTTTGGCTCAGCACAGTTGTTATCTCTCTTTAAAGGTGGACAAAGATTTCATCCCTGGGCTCATGTACATTCGTGACAATGAGGCTACTTCTGAGGAGTTTGAGGCCATGAGCCTGCCCTTTACCGTGCCCAGTGCAAGTGGCCAGGACATCCAGCTGAGCTCCAAGCACACCCATATCACACTGGACAACCGGGCTGAGTATGTCCGTCTGGCCATAAACTACAGGTTTGTGAGCTTTCCCCACTAGTGTTCATTCAGGTGCATTTACCACTTTCCTTAGAGTCCCTGAGGTGATACTGGGTTTTATTCCTGATGTTCAACTGAGGACAGCTTGCAGAGGCCATGTAATGTGCTGTTCAGTCTTTGACTTTATGCCGTAACATCTAGAGTGCCAAGCACAACTTGTCTCTTGGCATGCTTTTCATTTTACGGTATTATAAGTTGAGGGGAATACAAATCTTCACTCCTTCTTGAGTACCTGTTACTACTGAGCATTGAGTCTTAGAACACATATCTTTAGGTTAATCTTGACTAGTGCGTGATATGTGCCATTTTGATGGACGAAGTCTTGTTAGATATGTCAAGTCTGTAAAACTTGTTTTCATCTGAGCCACATGCTCTGTAAAACTTGTTTTCATCTGAGGCACATGCTGCCTGGTAAGGCTTTGTGTGAACAGGAAGAATTCTGCATCACTAACAAAATTGTGAAATGTGCATTTTCTTTCAGACTCCATGAATTTGATGAGCAGGTAGCTGCTGTTCGGGAAGGGATGGCCCGAGTAGTGCCTGTGCCCCTTCTCTCTCTGTTCACTGGATATGAACTAGAAACAATGGTATGCTCACTTCTCCTGGGTCTTATGGGAACTTTGCACAGTGAACAGCTAAATCTATGTTGCTTGCTAATTTTATCTTGCACTTGAAAATCTGAGTTATCTGTTGGTGTTGAATGAAGTAAAAGTATATTTACTCTGTGTGTATGTGCACTGCCTACTTTCTCTCCTCCAGCCTCGTTCACATGAGACAGTTAAGTGAGCATTATGCTGAGTGAACTCAGTCTTATAAGAACAAATAACTGCATAAGACCATTATTGTAAAAATAGAAGGGTAACTAAGAAAATGTGTATAAATATCAAGAAGGGTAAGGGTAGCAGGGTTTAGTGGACAGATTTTGGGGTAAGGGGTGTGAAGGAATAGGGAAGATTCAGTGGGGACTCAAAAAGGTGGGGCATAGGTCTATAGTAATTATATACAATGTAAATGTAATATGAGTGATGTTCTGTGTATAATGTATGAAGCATAACGTAAATGAAAGATAAAACACAGTATACATGATTGAGACACAATGTAACAAAATTGTTGTATGAAAACTAATTTTAAAAAATAAGACTGAGAAACAAGTCAAAGTAAGCTTCTGTCCTGAATGTCTAAGACCAGGCCGTTGTAGAAAAACAAAGTGATAGACAGCTGGAAATGAAAAGGTTGACCATACCTGATAAGAATGTTCTTCTCTAGGTCTGTGGCAGCCCAGATATCCCTTTGCATCTTTTGAAGTCAGTGGCAACATATAAAGGGATTGAGCCATCTGCTCCTCTGATCCAGTGGTTCTGGGAGGTGATGGAGTCCTTCTCCAATACAGAGCGCTCCCTCTTCCTACGGTTTGTGTGGGGCCGGACCAGGCTACCGAGGACCATTGCTGACTTCCGAGGCAGAGACTTTGTCATCCAGGTATGCTCCTTGACATTGCTGTGTCCATTGTCATCTTCATTATCACATCAATTGCTGCAGTGTCTACTTCTGTCCTGAATACGGAGAGGCACACAATCCTGGAGCAGATTATATTACTTTCTTTGATGGAATAAAATGAAAAGTACCTAGCTTCTTTGATTTGATGGGTCAAAACCTTATGAGTACAGAATCTAGGTCATCTCTTTTTCTTGAATACCCGTACCTTTTAGAAGAATTACCTGTATCTGACCATGGTAAGAATAGACTCCTGTTGTGTCATTATACTCTGAACCTGGGGCATACATATTATATAAAGTATTTCTATTGGGTTGGGTCAATGACTTAAGTAAGGAATATGTGATTTACCAAGAAAAATCAGAAGGCTTGTCAAATTGAGAATAAGAATGTTACCTGTGACACTAAGTGCTAACCAGAAATAAGCTCCATTTATTTGGTTGGCCTTTAAATGACACAGCCCTCCAGTGCTCTATCTTTTCTTTCATGAAACACTCACTGTATTGTCCTATCAAGTCCTGTGGGAGCTGGGAGGGTGGGGGGCTGGGGTACAGTGCACATGCTGACCATAGCATATTGGTGAGGAAGATTGGCATTGCTTTGGTGGCCTAGTGGCAAGCTACACTACCATCCCAAATGCATGTGGTTCAAGGCCACCAGCTGTTCCACAGGAGAAGGATGGGCAATCTCCTTCCATGTGATTAACTGCCTCTGAAAACCACCTGAGGGTCAGCGATAGGTCAGTTGACTCTGTGGTACATAGCAACAACAACAACAACATTTCCATCTCAGCCTGCCCTGAACTATGGCTAGCTTAGGAAAGCCACTTTCAAGGAACATTTAAAATGCTGTATAGTTCCTCTCTTAAAAGGTAAATCACTCTCATCCATAATCCTTTCTACCTTCCAAGTGTATTGTTAGTGGTGAGCTGAAGGACCCACTAGTCTCTCCTTTTGTAGACCCTACCTGCCCCATGACCT